CCCCCCCCCCCTCCCCCCACTACAAGGGACATTTCGGTAAGTAATGCAACAAGGATAGTATTTATTGCCTTTAGAAAAGGGGACACCCAGATGCAGATGAGCTCCCCTGCCCGCTTCGGCAAACCATTCCTACCGCTCCGGCTGTGTGTTCTGCTCAGCTATGTACTTCGGTTGCTGTACGTGCTATTGAGACTAGCGCATAGAGCAGCCCTTCAGTTCACCTGAACCGAAGGGTTGCTGCAGTTGAAGAGAGCCGAAGGATTAACCGACGGTTCGGCTCTTTAGTGCATAAACCCCTATAGTTTTTACTTTTGGATAGAGTATGGGAAGGGCTAAAAATCCCTGTTAGTTTATTTCTTTCTATGTGAGTACAGTTGGGGCATTTTCATTTCGCTTCTTGTCCTGGATATGAGAGGAGATCTCTCAAATGTAAGGGGGATTCTCCTTTTTTACAGTTGTCACAGGAACATGTGTGCCCATTGAAATCTTTTGACGATAGCTGTAAATTCTTTAATTCCCCGCAATCTTCTTTTTACTTTACAAATGGTCAACAGGAAAAATAGGATAAATCTTCCTAGCATGAACAGCAGCAAAAAAAAAAAAATAGGAGTTTTAACGCTTTGTGATTTCATTAAAAAGTTTTTTGTTTTTTTTAGCTATACATACAGTTTATGGTCAGTAAAAAGCTGTTGAGTATTAGCCATAAGAGAGATGTTTTGCCATCAAAGATAAAAAGAACTTGGTTACTCTAATCAGTGACCACTAAAAGAGAATCAGAAAGTTATAGATGGGTAGAGTATGGATAGAAGCATTGATAAGTGAACTACACGCTGGATGTTTCTCCTTGAGATGGCAAATTTTGTCTAAAGGTCATGAATGCAAGTAGATTGAGTTATACTAGGCCAAAGTGAAGCTCATAGCTGATATCCTTTGTGAGCTTTTAACATCAGTTCTCTGGACTCTGCTACTGTGGCACTTTGGTTTAGTAATAGTATTTGAATAGGGTCTAATTTCCTGTACCATTCTTTCTGAAAATATGGTTACCAGCAAGCCAGCAGTGGAGTAAAGTAGGCAAGGTAAAGGCTTACAGTAAACATTAGAAAAAAGCTTTGACATTTATAAAAAATATTAACAGCAAAGCTAGCCACAGTCATTATTTGGTGGCTAGATAGACAGACATGACCTGACCTCCAAATGCTTTTTTGTTTGTTCCAAATAGTGCGTGATTTTATGTTGGCCATGAGCATATGTTAATGCACTGGGAAGGGAGGGTGCAGATATCCCTGGTGCCGCCCCTATCAAGGGGGAACAAATGGCGTGTTGAAAAACTGACCAACTGCTCCTTCCAAAAGTGACTGGCCAAAAAAATCTCTTAGAATCCATAAACACAACAATCATCCCCCTATCTGTCCTTAGTTGCCAATTGGCCAAAGAGGG